CCCCCCCCCCCCCCCCAACACCCCACCTGTGTTTTCGGGTTGGGGTCTCATTTTACTTCTGGTCTTTACGTTCATTCCTTAATTAGTTACTCTTCTTCCCACTTTACCCGCCAACTCTTTCTCTAGTAGTACCAATTAACATTTTCAAATGCATTCAAATATTTTTTTCTAATATTTTTTTTTTTAAATTTTACAAAGTTAAACTACTTGAATCTATTCGAAGGGTTGTTCGACCTTGGATATAAGGGGGTGGACTCTACATTCTAGCTAATGATTTGGTTACTACAAATGGATACCTAAAATCATTCCAAAATTTTTATTTTTGTGACTAGTGAACAACGAACGCATTTTGACGTGCCTATCATAGGAATATTGTTCAAACACAGAAAGATATGTAACTTGTTATAAAATTTGAAGGATCATTCCTCAATTTGTATGATTGATTAGGCAAAATGTGCTAAGATAGGAAAACAAGAAGAATTAATAATAGCCAGCCAAGATGTGTGTGATATGTGCTTCCCTTTTTTGTGATGTAATGTTTTCTTAATTGATGTGTGCTTCCCTTAAGAAGAATAATTTGAAATTAATGTTTTGGGATTCGGAATAGCCTATTTAGTAATTTAACTTTATAAAACTAACTAATTCCCTAAAATAGCACCATGCATAATTATTCAGAAGCCTATGTGATGCTTGTTATTTGCACAAACAATGAGAGAGAGAGAGAGAGAGAGAGAGAGTTAACATTCATCATTCATACACTGGGGATCAAAGTCAGAGTAGATTTTTTATTCCAAATTAACTGTTAATTTGGATATTCGAATATTTAATTGATTGAGATTTAATTTTAAACACTAAAAAAAACATGCACGACCAATTTCGATAAGAACTAGGAAACCATGGGAATGGGATGCATATGGGCAGGGAATGAAGTGCGTATAAAAGCACCAAATGGAAAAATCCTTACATTTATATAATAATATTCTAAATTCTAATATGCTTGTGGTAAAGGCTTTGTCGCTTGCTTTATTCTTTTTGTTTGGTTGTCAGATTTTGGGATGCAAGATCCATTCTAATTAATCCCATCTTCAACAAAAAGTACCCAAAAGTCCAATTCCCACTTGCAACAAAGTCAACTCCATAACTTCATCATAAGAACTTCAAAAATAAAAACGTATGACTTTAGCATGAATGATGAATGGAAACATGGGGCTGTACTTGCTACATAAGAATTCGAATGACTGCTTCGAATTTTTTTTTGATTTAAAATCTTACTTTTTCAGGGGATCAGATTCTCTATTCATCTTTTTTAATGTTCTTCCTAATATTATCTTGTTAAAGATCCTTTTTTACCATTCCTTAGTTTGAATCTTACCAAATCAACAAATAACCATTACAAATTTGGACTTGAATCCTTCTCTTAATGACACCATAACAAATCAGAGATGAAAATTAATGACACCATAACAAATCAGATGTTATTAGTATTTCAAAAAATATCATCATGCACTTTTTTATTATAACAATATAAGAGAGAAATTGCACGTTAAGTGTCTGTTTGGCATTGCTTATTTGAAGTGATAAGTGATTCTTTTTTAAGATATTGGGAAACTCAACCCGTTGGTAAACTATGAGAAAATCTATAAAAAAAAGTAGCTATGCGGGAGTCATTTTCTAATTATATGAAAATCAGTACCAACAACACTTTTAACAAAAAAATTATCAAACGCTAAATTGCTTTCTCTCACAGCAAATCTGACGATTATTTTCACAAAACAGCAATATCAAACTAGCCTGAAGTCAAGAAACGAAACAAGAATTACTAATAAAATTTAAAAAATAAATAAATTAAACCACAAAGTCATTCCCTCCATGCCAGGCCAATGCGTGATGTTTAGCTTATTGTGATGCAGAGTGACAGAAGCTCACAAGCAGCAGCATGAATTACCATTGTTCGTATTGTTGACTTTTTGGAAAAACCTATTAATTAATCACAAGTTTCTGCTCAAACCCCACACGCTTTTACTAAAGCCACACCCCCCAACTCATAGTCAACCCCCTCTATACATGATTAAAATAAATTCAAACCCATTTTATATTAAATTAAACACCATTTTAGAAAAGTAATAAATAAGTAAACAAAGAAACTGAAAGCCCACATTCAAAAAGTCAACTCTTTCTCTCTCTCCCTCCTCCTCTCTCTCTCTTCACAGAACAAAAACCATTTATTTGTGACTTCCCTCATTCCCTCCTCCGTTTGAGTTGCTAATTGCGCCGAGAGCCATGAACAGTCAAATTTAACACCTTCAAACACTCCAATCAACAAAACCCAATTATTTCCTTCATTTTTTTTTCCTTGTCTCATTTCGAATGGGAAACCGCGTCGCAAAAGCTGGTCGCTGTTTCTGCACCGCCGGAGAAATATCCCAGCGACACGACAACTCCGTCGGCGTACCGGACCCACTCGACGAGGGTTTTGGCCATTCGTTTTGCTACTTCCGGCCGGACTCCGAAACGTCGTCGTCGAAGGTTTCGTCGGAGGACCCGAACCCGCCGACGACGACATTCCGATCAATCTCCGGAGCCTCAGTCAGCGCCAACACATTCACCCCTCTCTCCACTTCTCTCTGCGATCTCTATCCGTACAGCGCCGGCTGCGACCGAGCGGCGAGGTTCGAGAGCTCGACCTCGTTCGCTTCCATACCTCTGCAGCCGGTGCCCCGGAAGTCGTACCAGGGAGTTGCGAGTTCGGGTCCGATCGAGAGAGGGTTCTTATCGGGCCCCATAGAGCGAGGGTACTTATCTGGTCCGATTGATCGTGGGTTGTATTCGGGTCCGATTGAGAAAGAGTGCGAGAGATTAGAGAGAAGTCTCTCTTTTGGGATTGGAACCAAACCCAAAAGGAGCTTGATGAAGATTATAAGAAGAGCGATTTCAAGTGCTGTGAGTCGTGGGCAGAAATCGAGTGTTGCGCCGGTAAAGGGAGGCGTATTGGTCAAAGAATCGGATTCGGAGAAGATGGGTGGTGGGATTGCGACTCCGAGTAGCACTAATTTGAGCAGCCATGTGAGTTTGAGCAATGAGAATGAAGATTGCAGTGGAGATTACTCAATGGGGAGCCAAAATCTTCATTGGGCGCAAGGGAAAGCGGGTGAGGATCGAGTTCATGTTGTGGTTTCAGAGGAGCATGGCTGGGTTTTTGTGGGGATTTATGATGGTTTTAATGGCCCTGATGCCCCTGATTATTTACTTTCTAATCTTTACTCTGCTGTGCACAAGGAACTCAAAGGGTTGCTCTGGAATGACAAGTTCGAAATGGAAATGGAAACCGAATCATCGGCAGTAAAATCATCAAATTCGTACCTGGATTCGGATTCCTTAAAAGAAATTGATCTGCCCCAGATGAGTAATCGGATGGTTCATGGAGTTCATGGGGAGAATTATGCATTAGAAAATGGGGATATTAATGCAGATGGTAATTCAAAGAGAAAACAGAGCAATGGGTTGGGAAATAAGCTTGAGGAGACTCAGAGGCGGTGGAAGTGTGAATGGGATAGAGAAAGGCCAGAGCTTGATAGGAAGCTAAAGGAGAATTTGAAACGTCCAGTGTCAAATGGTGTGGGGTCTCCTGATCCTAAAGATGTTCTTAAAGCTCTTTCAGAGGCCCTAAAAAAAACAGAGGATACATTTTTGGATACTGCAGATAAGATGGTGACAGAGAATCCTGAGTTGGCTCTGATGGGTTCTTGTGTTTTGGTGATGTTGATGAAGGGAGATGATGTTTACTTGATGAATGTTGGGGATAGTAGGGCGGTTTTAGCTCGGAAAGCCGAACCCAACATGCGGCGGAACTTGGAAAGGATTAGTGAAGAACCTTCAGATGATCTTGATTCATCAAATGCTGATGAAAGTTACAGTTTGAATAATTTGACTGCACTTCAGCTCACAATGGATCACAGCACATATGTGAAAGAGGTAATTTTTCTTGTCTCAAACACCTCTCTATAAAGAAGAGTGCTTTTTTATGCTTATATTCTCTGTTTTGATGGTTTATTTTGAGACTACACTCAAGTTCTTCAAATCTCAGGAAGTTCAAAGAATAAAGAATGAACATCCTGATGATGCTTCTGCAATAATGAATGACAGAGTGAAAGGTTATTTGAAGGTCACTCGGGCCTTCGGAGCTGGCTTTCTCAAACAGGTATGAGGAACCTCAACAAGTTCATTACTTGATAAATGTCACATGAATGAGAATTGCTCTTGTCCACAAAATGTGATATATTTGTCAGCTGTGATCTTATAATTTCAATTGTTTGTGCATATTGTTGCCCATTTTTGAATAACCATTAACATCTGGTTTGGTTTTGTTGCAGCCAAAATGGAATGATGCTTTGCTAGAGATGTTTAGGCTCAACTATGTTGGAACTGCTCCCTACCTCACTTGTATACCATCAGTCTACCACCACAAACTCAGCCGAAGAGACAGACTCTTAATATTGTCTTCTGATGGACTCTACCAATACTTCACCAATGAAGAAGCTGTCTCTGAAGTTGAGTTGTTCATCTCTTCGTTTCCTGAAGGAGATCCTGCACAACATCTCATCGAAGAAGTGTTGTTTCGAGCAGCAAAGAAAGCTGGTAAGCCTTTTTGTCTCAGTGAACAAGTTTTAAGGATGTGACTATTTTATGAAACTATAAAGCTTAATGTGTATATTGCGGTTTTGCAGGAATGGCCTTCCATGAGTTGCTTGACATTCCGCAAGGGGAACGCCGGCGGTACCATGATGACGTTTCGATCATTGTTATATCGTTGGAGGGAAGAATATGGCGATCATCGGTGTAAATAAACATTAAAACTGCAAATAGAAAAAGTCATTCACAGAAGGGTTGGATGATTTTGCCATACATTGTTTCATTTCTACAATTTTTCCCCTTAACCTTTG